GAACACTGACCTTGATAAGTGTTGGGGCTACACTGGAACACTGACCATGATAAGTGTTGGGGCCATACTGGAACACTGACCATGATAAGTGTTGGGGCTACACTGGAACACTGACCTTGATAAGTGTTGGGGCTACACTGGAACACTGACCTTGATAAGTGTTGGGGCTACACTGGTACACTGACCTTGATAAGTGTTGGGGCTACACTGGAACACTGACCATGATAAGTGTTGGGGCCATACTGGAACACTGACCATGATAAGTGTTGGGGCCATACTGGAACACTGACCTTGATAAGTGTTGGGGCTACACTGGAACACTAACCATGATAAGTGTTGGGGCCACACTGGAACACTGACCTTGATAAGTGTTGGGGCCACACTGGAACACGGCGAGACAACAGTCTTCATACACTTGTCATGAACCACGAAGTTGCACACTGTTGGAGAGGAGAAGATGTTAGTTATTGTCCACAACATCACCAACATCATCTCTGTTACATGTCCCTAGTCATCGATATTCTCAATATTTAATAATAAATCATTTATTGTATTTTATTTCATGATACAGGTACATGTGTGTGCTTTTTGTAAGTGTTGTGGTACACAAGAGGGTAGTTTGGAGCAAGGCGCGGACTTGGGTGTTGCCCTGTTTAATACATGTCCATTCCTGGTTACTTTCTACACCAGATTCACGAAGCAGTTACGCAAGTACTTACGAACGTGTACATCTTTCCTCAATCTTTGACGGCTTTGGTTATATTTATTAAACAGTTTACAAGCATGAAAACTTGCCAATCAACTGTTGTTATTGTTATAAACAGCCTCCTGGTGCTTCGGAGCTCATTAACTGTTTAATAATTGTAAACAAAGCCGCCAAAGATTGAGAAAAGATGTACAGGTTCGTAAGTGTTTGCGTAACTGCTTCGTGAATCAGGCCCCAGGGCCTTTGTCAACACCTTACTCAAGGTGTTGAGTAAGGTGTTGATCTTACTTTGTTTCCTTGTAGTAGATTAATTATCTGGTGAGACTATATGTATTTCGTTGTGTTCATTTGCCATCTGATTATATTGTGTTGTTGTAATGAGTAATCTTTGTATTAACTACAAGTTGCATATTTTTATTTGACTATTCTATTATTTTTATGTGTATTTTGTTATATTCTAATCTTTTGTTATTCTTTTGTTTTGTACTGACTTAAGGGGCACTGTGGTATATTGTGCTTATAGGCGGTGACTTACTTACCCTACACTATTGTTATCACTGTACTCTGATTATACCAGCTGTGTGTACCAGCTGTGTGTACCAGCTGTGTATACCAGCTGTGTGTACCAGCTGTGTATACCAGCTGTGTATACCAGCTGTGTGTACCAGCTGTGTATACCAGCTGTGTATACCAGCTGTGTGTACCAGCTGTGTATACCAGCTGTGTATACCAGCTGTGTATACCAGCTGTGTGTACCAGCTGTGTATACCAGCTGTGTGTACCAGCTGTGTGTACCAGCTGTGTGTACCAGCTGTGTATACCAGCTGTGTATACCAGCTGTGTATACCAGCTGTGTGTACCAGCTGTGTATACCAGCTGTGTATACCAGCTGTGTGTACCAGCTGTGTATACCAGCTGTGTATACCAGCTGTGTATACCAGCTGTGTGTACCAGCTGTGTGTACCAGCTGTGTATACCAGCTGTGTGTACCAGCTGTGTATACCAGCTGTGTGTACCAGCTGTGTATACCAGCTGTGTATACCAGCTGTGTATACCAGCTGTGTGTACCAGCTGTGTGTACCAGCTGTGTGTACCAGCTGTGTATACCAGCTGTGTATACCAGCTGTGTATACCAGCTGTGTGTACCAGCTGTGTATACCAGCTGTGTATACCAGCTGTGTATACCAGCTGTGTGTACCAGCTGTGTGTACCAGCTGTGTATACCAGCTGTGTGTACCAGCTGTGTATACCAGCTGTGTGTACCAGCTGTGTATACCAGCTGTGTATACCAGCTGTGTATACCAGCTGGTAACTACCACCATCACCACCCCAACTACCAGTACCACCACCACCACCACCACCATCCCCAACTACCACCACCACCCCAACTACCAGTACCACCACCACCACCACCACCCCAACTACCACCACCACCCCAACTACCACCACCACCACCACCACCCCAACTACCACCACCACCCCAACTACCAGTCACAGGACCACCACCACCACGCCAACAACCACCACCACCCCAACTACCAGTCACAGGACCACCACCACCACCCCAACTACCACCATCACCCCAACTACCAGTCACAGGACCACCACCACCACCCCAACTACCACCACCACCCCAACTACCAGTCACAGGACCACCACCACCACGCCAACAACCACCACCACCCCAACTACCAGTCACAGGACCACCACCACCACGCCAACAACCACCACCACCCCAACTACCAGTCACAGGACCACCACCACCACCACCCCAACAACAACCACCACACCAAC